GCGGTCAATTTGACCCCACCTGACATCACAAACAGTAGGAGGGGTAGGAACATTAAATTTACAGCGTGGGTCGGTCTGTATATGAGACCACTTGTGTCAAAATTTGAAGTGCATAGGTCATGGCCTTTAGGTCAAATAAGCCCAATCAAGGTCAAATTCAGATAAGTGTCAAATGTGTTTCCTTACTTCGTTATGCAACCGGCTTGAGCTCTGATACTTGTGCTAAGCAATATGTCACTGGTGTTCATTTTTGGTCTGCGGCCTTTTTTGTTCCTTAAAAGGTCATGGTGACCAAAAACCTACGATATTGTTTGTGTTTTATTTGAATGAGCGTTGACGAATTCGCAACGCGGCACATTCCTAGACACAATGGTTTGTTCTGGGTGAATTTAGGTCAGTGACCTACTCCGACCTATACGAATTTAATGGAAAATGACTGGTAAGTTAGCTGCTGTAAGGAGATTCGAAATTAGTATCAGAGCATACCCCAAATAGCAAGCTCTCCAGTAAAGAGCAGGTTGGTTTCGGCTTTGGCCCGACCTTTATACCTCACGATAGGTTAATGGAATTTGCTGTAATACTAGATTCAATTGTTTAATTACCTTAAGACCTGTTCCATACACGTATGACTTTGTCTAACACTCCGTTGCCGCATTAGATTGAACGCTTCCCTAGAAATTGCTTTGCCGTCAGGTGAGGCCTGAATATGACCTGCGATAGGTCATCAGCTTTGCATGGTACATATGATTTTGCATCCCAAAAGATCCACTGTTCAAACGCCTTCAGCTCTGCAAAATCTGGTGAGGCTACGCTGCTTTGCTCAAAAATAATTTTGTAAAAAACTTAGACTGTCAAATTGGCACTACCTCAGCGCGTGTTAAGCACAAAAGAGTATATAAGGGTGGATGTCCGGACATGAGTTGTGCATTTGGTTATTTGTATTAAAGCACCTTCGGCCAGTGATGCCATTTCAGGGTTATGAAACAAAAGAACGGCGGGGGAAGTGGGGCGGGACTATTCCTGGCGGTGCACCATGGGACCCAACCGCCGGTACCAAGACCGCATAGGGACCTCTCGTGGGGTTATGTGCCTGGCGCCTGGACGGGGACCTTCACCAGGGGGTGGGTCGAAGGGGGTGGGTCGCCAGCCACGAGTGGTTCGAACCCACTCGTGGCTGGCGCATGCAGTCTGCTCCGGAAAATTGGGGTGCCGTGAGGTGCAGGATTAAATAAAAAAGAAGATAACAGGGCGGATAGTACACAAACTCTGGCACTAGCCAGGGTTTGTGCTACATAAACACACATTTGAACAGTGGTACTAGTTATGACGAAAATAAAACTGGGAATCGAATAGCTTAAAAGCTGTGGTATGACTGAGTATGTGAATACAGGAAAATTATCCAAAACCTTCGTATCATTTGCCTTCATATTTTCAGATCGTGAAAAATTTCGTTTGATGAGCAAGGCATTGCATTAGAAACGCACGAGACATGGTGCAAAGTTGCATGGCTTTCTTGCTTCGGCAACACACAATATTTCCAAATGACGTCATCCCCGCATGAACACTACATGATAAAATGGTGAAAAGCAAATAGCAGCGCCGCATTGCAGTCTCCACGGTGCCTTTTGGCGCCGGTTTATTTGGTCACGGCATCCTTAAGATATGCGATAGTCGGAGCAATTTGCAAAGTACGAGGAATTCGTGGTAGACGTGAAGCTAGACGAGGTTGTCAGCTTTCAACAGCCCGTACCCATATACGGAAAAGCTTGAACTGGTATATGTGCTTGAGCGCGTGCTATGCCCCGCTATGCTTGAGCACGTGAACAGGATGGCCAATTTACTCCACGTGAGAACAGATTTGGTTCAGACCAGGTGCGGTCGGCGGCGCGGTTTGGAGTAAGAAGGAGCCGTCTGCATGGGACACGATCATACAAAGGCCAGAGAGGTGGTATGCAATGTTTTCGACATGTCAATCAGATCGGTCCGAGTGTGCTGCCCTGTACCACTCCGAAGTTGATAGGTTTCAGGTGATTTTTCCCCTTCACAAACTGCTTCCTACCTCACTCTGTGAAGGAAAACGTCCTGCCTGCCCCTAACACAGTCTCTAGCGTCAAAGTGAGCGTACCACATCTAGCGTAGTCTTTGAAACGAGGCATTGATGCGGTGTGTCATTCGAGCTTCACGAAAGGAGCGCCGCGGCCGAGTGATTCAAACGCTTGGAAAGGTCGCATGACGTCACGCATGTCACGTTAATCCTGCCCCTGCTGTTTGAGATGGCGCTGACAACGTCATCCGAGGCACCCTCCGTTGAGTGGGCGACATGGCATGGTCGGTAATTAAAGGGAATGCTCCACGTATGAAAATTGTGTGAGAGGCATCAGATATGATGAAATAGCCTCACTTATAACTATTGGTATACTGTTAAGTGGAAGAGACTGCTCTAGACAGCGCAAATTTTCTGTGTAGTAAATATTATCCTCAATTGTCAATGTTTGATTACGTCATCACATCTTGCACAGCATTAACTGAGAGCCAATTGACGGCTGTTACACATGGGAATCGTGGTCACGAACGCCAGAACTGAACAACTCGACAAGTATAGTTGTTGGCTTTTACTGCTGCTGCATGGCTAATGGAATGGCAGGATTCAAATGACATTATGATGTCATGGATGTCTGGGTAACCTTGAAATAGGCCCTTCGAAAAAGTGTGCACGTCGTCGTGAGCATGTAGCTCAGAAACTAGAAGGGCTTAGATCTCAAGCTGGGCAGGACTGTTAACTGCGTCGAAAGGTCTTCATGATAGTTATTTTTGTTTAAAACCCTATACAGATGTTGATCACTCCCCGTGTATAAGCCAACACCTATACGCTGACGATTTTTCGCTTAATTTACCAATGATGCTCACAATACTGATGGGTCTAAAGTTGCACGGCTGAGTTTTGTCACCAGGGCCGCGTTCCCCATTACCAACAGCTATCCACAAGCTGCAACCTATGACGACAGAGGCAAGTGCGTCACAGCAGCGTCTGCGGCTTGGAGGTTAGCAGTTTATGCATGACGTTGGTACTTGTGACGTCATAGGTAGCAACTCAAATAGGCACTTTGCCAATGAGGAACGCGGCCCAGATTGGTGAGTGGGTACCATTATTGCGTGTTCCTACTCGGTGCAGTCGACACGGGCGGGGAGGGTGGGATATTCACAATGCGACAAGTTTGAGGTGCCGGCACGGGAAAACGACGCTTCAACAATTCAGAGCGACACAGCGTCACAACTTACTGCCGACGAGCTACACATCCACCGCCGAGCTAAATTCAGCTTAGGGAGCGTGACGGGCCGTATACGATGCCCGACACTGATCCCGGCCGGCGGCCCGGGCGGTATGAGACTGCCCGGCTGAGCGGCCAGTCCCTCAGCTACACGGCGCCCGACGCCAGTGAACCACCTGTGGAACTGGCTCACTGCTCCCGTATCGAGGCCGACATCCAGGCGCTTGGTCTTGGTAGAGGTGATGGCGTACGTTCTGAGGTTCTCTCGCATGTTCTTACACGAAATCGAGTCCGAAATCGGACACAAGAGGCAGGATTGTGTGTGTTTTATGTAGCGTGTGACCACATCCCGTGATTTTTGTCTGGGTTTCGGGATTGGTTTCTGGGCTGCATCCGGCTGTGACAGAGCGCCTTATATGCGGCGGAGGTGAGTGTATCAGTGTTGAAACCATGCCTGCGGCCGGTTGGTCGTTGAAGGGACTTCCCAGGTCTGCCGGAACTCGCCGGTGAAAGGACTCGCCCGCCTGCCGGGACTCGCCGGTCTGAGGGCTCCCCACAGCCGGCCAGAGATGCAGAGGTATTCTGCATTTCTGTATTCTGCAGAAGTCCGGCTCATGGCATGCGGCACTTGCAGAGACTGACCATGTTGGGGACCCATGTACAACAGGGCTAGGGCCATTGGATTGACAGAGACATGGGATCCCGAGCTTTTCTGAGCAGCCGCCATGCCTGCCATGTATGAAATCCCCATTCGGTAAAAGTGTGCAAAGCACACGTGGTTCTTTGATTTTGATTTCGTTGAAGAAGTGCACCAGTTGAGTGTGCTTGACGAAATTTAATGGTTAAAACAATTGTGCACTGAATTAAGCGCTGCTGCACGCACGCCACTGGTCCTCTGTGACTACATGGGTTCGGTGGGGACCCAGTTTGTTATGTGCAATGTTGAAGAAAGCATTCTACATTTGTATGGGGTTTTGAACTGCGATACCCACTCTGCAGATCACGCACTGTATTGCACAGCCCTAGCCTTTTTGGAAATGAAATCCCTCCAATTTCTGAGCTCGTCGGCTGCAAACTTGTGCATAATTTTTGGTGTAAGCTATTTTGTGCAGACTATTTCGTGCAGACTTGCATGATGCCACAGAAATGTCACGGAAAAACTGCTATCTCAGTGGCCATGTGCCGCTCAAGGCAAAGAGAAATGCTACTATTGATGTATTACCCTGGCTAAAAAGGGACTTGGCATCAAGGCTGTCCTTCGCACAGATGCATAAAGTTGGCGATCATTACGTCAGCGTTTCACAGATCGTACAACCACAAATCAGACATCTTTGTTTTACTTCTCAAAATTACGATGAAACACGGAGAACAGAATCGACAACCTAACTTAGGTATGATTTGCCTTGTGAATGTAATCATTCATGAATAGCCATGCTCCAGTCGTTTTCGCCCACCCTGTTTTTCGTTTTCGTTTTGACCCTGTGGTCACCCACCCATCCTTACATTGATGGTCTGCAGAATTCAATCTGACGAGCCAAGAACTTTCCTGACTAATCCTTGCAACAATCCCTTTCCCCGTCCCCAGTCTTTGCTTCCCTGCACCCTGCCAAACTCTGCCTTCCTTTTTCCTGCCTTTCCAATAATCGTGTAATATTTACCGCCGCGACTGGAGCGTTGGTAGCCAGCAGTGTAGGTGGATGTGCCGGAAAATCGCACCAAACAATAATACGATTGAGCCGGTATAATGTATTGAGGAAGCACTCACTGCTGCTGGAAGGCAGCAATTGTTTTCCGCACTGATGAACGAAAAAACAGCTTCAGGAACGTAGGACTCAGGCTCGGAAAAATATCTGGCAAGATGAAAGCGAAGTAAACATTCTGGAGAAAACTGCTTACCACCATGCCTCACGTTGTGTAACATAACAAGCGATATGTAGACCATTTCTGTCACGCCATTGATTGCTTGCTTCCAAAAGACCAGCTACTAAACAGGAAAGTAACAACAAAGCGCCTGCACCTGTCAGTGCAAAGCATGGCTTAAGCTGTATTTAAAAACGAAAGGCTGCGGAATAGTTTGACAAGCAGGCAACAGTACATGGCAAGCCTGAGCGCCGGCGAGCTGCTGTAGGTCAGCACCGTCCAGATAAATGGCATCCCAGCAGGCTGTGACCGCCCCCCCCCCTCAGACAGATGGCACTGTCATCAGATGGTGACCTTCACAGGTGGCACAGATGACCTCTGCCAGCAGGCCACGGCCGTGCCAGCTCAGACCGGTGACCTCCCGACCTCCGGCCGGGGCCTTTCCGAGTCGTCCTTCAGTTCAGCCCGGACAGCTCCTGGCGAAGCTTCTCAATCGGCTTCAGCAGCATGATCGGCTTGTCGTCGTCCCGCACCTGGAGCGCCGAGCGGGAGAGGTCAAAGTTCATGGCGCCTTAAGGGGGGGGGGGGGCGAAGGTCAGCACTGGAGCTTTCCACGCGTGAAGGGCGGCGTTGCTCCGTCATTGAACAAAATGCTTCAAACAGCGCGCGGCTATCCGTACGAATATACGAACTTCTCCGACGAGAGGGGTGCGTTAACCCAGCGACTGGCGGACCATGGACTAGTCATGCGGCGACGGGCAGGAGAAGAGGTCATCGTCGTTGTTGCGTAATGCGGGACGAGCGAACTGACTGAGACACAGTTCTGCGACCGGTCATTTGCCGGCCTCAACATTTATTTGACACTATCACAGACATCCCATTTTCACGAGCGGTGTCCTGTATCCAAAGGTAAATGATTTTGAAACTGATATATGAAAAACGAAAGTCCAGCGCGTCAAAAAGGATTTTAAGTGATACGAAATTTGTAGAGAAAATGGCGGATGATCCCATGCAGTGAAATGAAGCAGCGCTTTCAGCTTGAGCCAAATGTGTCAAGGATGTTTTTTTTTCTGGCCATGTCAAATAAAAACATGTAGCCATGTATCTGGTTGTAAGTACGTGTCCCCGATACAACATACTTCATTCAGTGTGGCGTTTGCATACGTACCGTGGATGCCCCACGCAGTGTTTGATGTAGGCAAGAAAGGTCCTCATCTAATGATTTCTCGGCATTATGAGCCCAGAGTTCTTATGCCGAGTTATTTACCTTGAATATACCGGGAGGTACTGTTTAAACAGCGTCATAGAGCAAGCTTGAGTTACATTGTCAGTACTCAATGGCTCAGGCCGTGCTCATGATTAAGAATATGATCAGGCTCGAGATCTTTCAGATCAAATGATCTCAGGTCGCGTCAGACTCGACTCGATCAGACTCACACCTTGAACTGTAAAGTGTTGCTAATAAAACAATGAGAAATGGTGAACATCATATGTGTCCTGAGTGGCAATGAGTAATTACCTGATAGAGCATTTCTCCCTCGAAATAAAGAAGGCCGTACTTCCTCGCCTTGGCCAGGAGACCGACCACTCGGTTGTTGATTACCGAATACACCTGGAAGTGGGGCAAATTATGTTATGAAACATTGCTAGTTGACGCCTCCAAATGTCACAAACACAAAGAAAAAATCGGTGACCGCTAAACGCAGCGGGGTTGTGGGTCCGATCGTGGAGCTCCTAGGAAAATGCAGTCCAAGGTAGCTTGAACGGAACACGGCAAATACAGCGGCATATGAATTTCACTTTTAATTAGTTGTTTGCCGTTGCATTTGCGGAGGCTGCTTTGCTTTGACTGTGGCTTCGCGTTGGGCTGGCGGGGGGGGGGGGGGGGGCTTAAAGACTTAATGACTTAAGACTTAATGATGGAAAAAGACTTAATGCTAAAAGCTAAAAGACTAAAAAGACTTAAGGGCTAAAAGACTTAATGATGGAAAGCAGGAGCAGGATGCTTATTGACAAGTGTTAAGATTAAATGTGGTGCTTCGCTAACTGCTCAGGCATACAGTATACTTGATATTATACTTCATTACACTTCTTGGACAGTTTACTTCAGGGTGCATTAACAGGGATGATTACTGAGAACGTTCCAGGAGACAACAAGCTTCCAGAAAGTATAATATCCGTTGACAAATGCAAGTGAACAACGTTTATTGTACACACACAATGAACTTAGCAAGCTTGCAGTTGCCCATTGCTAGACACAGGGAAAATCAAGTGGTACGTGATACCCGTGCTCGACAATTCTCAGCAACAGTGATGTATGAAAAGCCCCACTGCTGAGCCGAAATATGCCACAATCAGCTCCAACAAACGAATAGTTTGACATTTAACACGTGGTCGGGTGGCCGGCTGGATACTCTTCGCTCGGGTGAAGGTCAATTTGACCCCGCTGAGATCTCAGGAAATAAGAGAGCTAGAGACACCAAATTTACAGGATGTGTTGACCTGTACGTGGACTCACTTAGGTCAAGATTTCGGGTTCTTAAGTCATGACGTTCGGGTCAAATGACGTCAAACAAGGTCAAATTCCAGGTTGGTCTCCAAAGAGCCCCGCGAACCTACCTAACCGTTTCTAACCAAAAGGTCGAATGCTCATTTAAGGTCAGTGACCTTGTTTGGCCTTGTGATGGTCATGGTGGTCAAGATAATACAATGCTGCTCCTAGTTTTGCATTTGAAAAAGCGACAAAGACTACGCTAGGAATTATGTTCGAAAAACAAAATGTTGACCCGGGCCATTTTAGGTCAATGACCTATTTTAACGTTTAAGAAGTCCATGGAAGATATATAATGCCGTTCCTGCCATCAATAAACCCGAGATGAGCACCAGAAACTACCCATACAGCAAAGCCTAGAGTAATAAAGCAGGTTAGTTTTGACCTTGGTATGACCTTCATACCTGACCTTGACCTTCAATTTAATTTTCTCATTCAAATGTTGTGTTGCCTAAGAAAGCATCTCAGAGATGTATGGCTTCGTATTGCACTCCGTTGTTGCATCAGATTGAACAATTCCCTAGAAGTTGACTTCGCTGAAACCATGGCCTGACTTTGGCCTGCCACAGGTCAACGACCTTACCAGGTACATTCAACTTAATGATGTCGAACGATCTGCTATTCAGTTGTTTACAGCTATGCAAAATTTGGTGCGGCTATGCCGCGCCGTTCGGAAACTGTTCCGGAAAAACCCTGGGAAGGGTCAACTTGACCCCTCCCCACCCGAGTGCATGTTAAATGACTCTTCTGCTCGCTGCACACCTCACACTGGTGGTGAGGAAGAAAGGTCACAACACTTTCAAAGCCAGGCCTAGCCCTGAGCGACAGGTGACGTATTAGTTGAATAGACTGTGAGGCTAGGACCAGCCACCGCCCATGATACGGGGTGGTGACAGCTCAGTGTGGGGGCACTCACGGTCGCCGGATCGAGCACTGACGTTACGTTCTGACGTCACTAAAGTCACGGTAGGAGCGTCCATAGATTAAGGTGCGCAACTTTGGCCATTCTGGACCCCCTCTCCCTCCCCTTGGTTACGTGCTGGTTACGCTGGGCGACCCAGCCCTGCTGCCCCCTGGTTGCCCGTGCTAAGCGAAACGTCCCCAAAAAGTCTGTTTAGGCCTAAGTGAGCTGGAGTTGCCAAATAAATGACAGGCATGTTCTTTGTCTTGCGAGGAAACCAACTGCGTCTGTCTTTAAGGTGTTAGTTTTTTTTGTTGAAAAAGTAGCATAATTTGCAGTCACACCCGCGTATAGCGTTATGTTATGCAAACATCTCATTCTCTCTTGTTACGCCTCCGTAACGCTCCATTCAAACTCGTCTCCCTGCCCACGTGTGGTATGATTTAGGCGCGGCCATGTAGACGCACACTTCTCGAGCGTTGCTTGACCCTTTCGAGACTAGGCAGCCTATAGCCACTTCAAGAGGAATACCGAATATTTTGCAGGGTCACCTAGACCATTTTGGACCGCACTCAGTAAGAAATAGATTCTCGTTTCCACGTGTCTTGGTGCGTTTTGGTATGTGATGCACAGCTTCAGATGCTCTGAAATTCTCTTCAGAAGTTATCAAGCTTTCGAGAACAGGGACCCCGAGCCAAGGAAGAGCAGATCTATGTGAAAAATCCCGGTTCAGGGCAATCATGTGCTCATCTGTGATTCTGGGGCACATTCGACTTCATAGTCGGCCAAAATTGTACTGGTTAAGAGTGGGGCTTCCTCTTCTGTAAGCCATTTGGACTCTGGGTCAGAGTAATTCATCTATTGTACCCAGAGTCAGTGTAGAGTTGTCTTCAATAACGATGTCTAGATGTGGTCTACGGTCTAAATACGGTCTAAATAATGGCGATGAGACGCGAAGCATATGGCTGATGCTGGTAATCGCATAAGCGGGGCGTTTACTGCCCCGTCCTGACCGACAATGAGCTCACTTGCTAATGACAATTACACGGGTCTAAATGGTCAGCTTATACTTTGAACAGTACGAAAAATGATCTGTGCGAACAATGCATAATAATAAGAAGTTAAACTTCCCTATAGCCGGCTTTGTGAGTTGGGCATCATTTTCTCGAGTCAGAGGTAAAGCCGGGTTCATCAATCATGTCTATTGCTTGCTATAGAATCGCATCACAATTTGGTATGATAATGTACAATTAATCAACACGGGAAAGGCAGCTAGAGTGCACATTATCACACGATACGCGCAGTTTGGGGCCTCTAGAGGCAAAACGTGAGCCACATTGCGTCGGCGAACCGTTCATGATCGGATGGCCTATGGAAGGCGGTATCATCGAACTTCCACAAAATGTGTGTGAGTATTGCCAGTTACCACACATTTTCACATCATGCATTTAGTGGTCCAAAAGACATTCTATGACCTCGGAGACCCTTGGGGCGAGGGCTGGCCTCCGAGCGGGAAGTGTAGGTGGCGCTGCCAGCTTTCCGAGAACGGTTTGAACTTCAGCGAGGGAGTGGTTTGTGCTTGGAATGTGAACTACGTGACACCTTGAAGCCCCCGTGCAGGTGGTGACACAGGAGATTGCTGATGTTCACATGGGACCTGCAGCTGTTGCAAGTCTGCAGCTAAGCAAACGTTAAATATTGACCGGAGGGAATAAATCTGTTCTTTCCTACGCTGGTGCTTACGCGTTTCATTCTTAGCAGCAGCGGTGCATAATCCTTGCATGGTACATTCCATGCGCCTGCAGTGGGCAGGTTTTGGGATTAACGTCCGCGTGGCTGCTCAGCGAGACTCGTTTTCCAGCTTGACTCGACAATGGAGGCCGGGTCAATGTGTCTACCGTCGCCAGCGGTGAGACGCCACCGTCAGCCGCGCGGAGGCCCCCAACATGTGCTGGAGGGATGGGCAAAGCCCAGAAGCGCGGGGCAAGATAAGACTCTCCACCTGGCGTGTCTCAGTCAATACAGCTGATCGGTATCGGCCCGGATTGCGCTTTCACGCGCCACGTCGGCACCAGCTGCGCTCCAACCACGAGGGTAGGAAGCCGCGTACCTATGCTTGGTTTCACCACGATCGGACCTTATGTGTGACCCCCTCCCCCGGCCCCCATCTCCCGTGTGCGCTAACGACCTGTGTACTATGCAGTCCCGCCGTCACCTCGACCTGGCCGACCCCTTGCGACCGCGTGGGTTCCGCTGGCGGGGGTGGCGTTTAGAGTCGGGCGGTAGCGCGACACTGGCTTTTGGCGGTGGTGTCTGATATGGGTTTGTTTGGTTTGGTTTGGTCTGGATTATCGGACCCTTTACGGCCTGTTATGAGTATTTCAAGGCTATTGGATGAATACCTGCAGATAACGGTGAGGTAAAGCCGCATGCACCTGGAAGTCTTCCGTCGAGACTTAGCCCCCACAGGCACCTCCATACATGGGATATGGGCTCGGTCCTCTGACCGGGTCCCCGTTAGCATGTATTTAAGCCTGCCCATGGCTGGCGCAGGCAGGCTGCCCCAGATAAACCGGGCGCCTCAAGGATGTACGACGAAGCAAGAGTAAGGAAAGAGAGTCGGATGTCGGTATGGACCATGTGCCGAGAAGTGCAGAGGCTGGGAAGATGGGATTACACACGTCTATGGGTGTGATCAGGAGCGCACCCAAGATATTCTTAAATGTGGGACTTGGAACTCGTTAAGTATGCATCACGGCGATTTCTACCTTTCTGTCGGGGGCCAGTTATAGCAAAAAACAAAAAAGCCTGGTGAAAGGAGAGTGCCGGGCCCCCCTGTCCTCTCCACTGGCTCCGTCCCTGGCCATGATAAAGGCATGCCAAGATGTGAAAACCGGCCCATATATTTTTTGCTTGCTTCGGACGTTGAGTCAGGTAGCTAAAAGTCATCAATTTTGTAGCTCCATATCCACAGCATGGCTCCCGGGTGATCTGCGGAGCTAGGCAAACCAGAGCAAAATTTGTGATTTAGGGTGTAAAATTTAACGATGGGGCGGAGCCGAAGTCACTGAGTGGACAGTGGGCACATCAACGCGAGTATTTATCTCACTGAGTGCACCAGTCAAGTATCAGTTACTGTGCGATGGATGGACATTTTTGGACACTTTTCGCCAAGATAAAAAGCACGGGGAGAGAAAATCAGTCGAATTATTCACCTTTCAGAAGCTTACCCGATCTGGAAGGAGTTTGATTGGTTTGGCACATGTATACACACGGTATCTGCCGCAGGTGATACAAAGACAGCGCAGCACACATGTTTGGCCAACGTGGCCGGCAGCGCATTGGCCTTTGCATACGGCGTAGGTGTTGGTGTCGATATATTAACTACGTGGGTTAATGCATTTGTGCCCTACCTGCTGTGAGAGAAGTTTTGGTGTGAACTCTCTTTAGGTGGGCGACTTCATACTTGGTTGCGTCTTAACTAGCTTCATGCAAGGATGATGGTGATAGTTGGTCAATGTAATATGAGATTGTGTTTCGATGTAACCAGCATAGATTTGAGATATTCATGGGTTGCATCGAATGACTTTTATGCATGTCCATATCACACTGGTGTCTGATGTAGCTTGCATTATGTATGTGGACATGGTGACTTAACAAATTGTAGTTCTGAGCCAAAAAGTGATCACATAACTTGTAAATATTGTTTAAGATGCAATCTGATATCCCATTGCATTCAATGAGTACTTGCTATTTTAGGCCTTGGAAACATGGAAGACCAGTTTGTTAAAACATTAGGGTTTCCTGGAACTTTGATTTTAAGTTGTTTGCATGCCTGGCTCTGGCTTTTGAGTACTTGTTAAGCATGCATACACCTTAACTTGAAACCTGTCAGCAAAAGTTTTCCATTCAAATTTGCACAGGTAGTTTTGCCTTAGGCCTCTGTACTGGCGAGACTGGAGCATTAAGTAACAGCAAAATGCTGGACCACTACCTTGCCAGGCCTGGGTTGGTTCTTATTGCCAGTTGCCAGCTAAGCATGTCACTTCAGTCAGGCCAAACAGTGTATCTGCTCTGGAACATGTATCTAGTGCTGCCGGATAAGTAGTTTGACAGCTTTCCCCCAGACCATGGGAGGCAAGGACTATTGTGATGCAGTTGGAACTTGCAAATGTAGAGGTTAAGCTTGTCAAGCATATCCACTTAGGCCATATGTTATGCTGCATGCTGAGTGAAGACATTAGTTGCAAAGTTGCCACATTAATGCAGCCAAAACATCAATCTCCTATGTTCCTTCTCCCAGGCTCATTCAAGTGATACCTTTCAAAGATATAGTCAGGCAATGGCAGAACATGGTCAAGCAGAACAGAAGAAGCTGTTGGATTTCCTCAGAATTGTTGGAAAGCTCAAGGTACTGGCATTTGCATGTCGTGTTTACTCAGTCTGTGGGCTATGTATTGCCTTTGTCAAGAAGTGAGATCTATTGTAACAGCATGATAGCCTTGTGTGTGTTTTGAAGTCATTTGAGCACATTTACCATGTGTTTTCTGTTTTTCGTCAGCACAAAAGGTGGGTGTTTCATGAAGATCTATGTGAGTTTCTAATAATTGTGATGCTGACTAGCAAATTCAAGGAGTGATCAGTTTTTCTGGTATGACACTGATGCAGCTGGCTCCTGGTATTGCACTCATACCCGTAGTTTTCCATTGACATGTGGGAGAACATAGGGTATGATGCCAATTAGACCACACAAAATTTAGCATACTAATATGTAGTTGAGTCTGTGATTATTTGATGGTTACGAGGTAGACCCTAGTCTGCCAAAGTCTCTGTTAATGATAGCATTTACCGAGGACATTTAACACTGCTCTCATTCTCGGCAGCACCTGAAGCGGACTGGCTGGGTGCGGCGCCAAGTGACTGAGCCGGAGACTGTGGCCGGACACATGTACCGCATGTCCGTCATGGCGCTGGTGGCGGCCGGCCGCGCCCAGGTGGACCAGGTACGCGCAGTCAAGATGGCGTTGGTGCACGACCTGGCCGAGGCCCTGGTCGGCGACCTGACGCCCCACTGCGGCGTCTCCGCCGACGACAAGCACGCGCGCGAGCTCGCCGCGCTCGAGAGCATAGTGGCGCATGTCGACGAGGCGGCCGCGTGCGAGATCATGGCGCTCTTCCTCGAGTACGAGGCGCACGCGACGCGCGAGGCGTGCTTCGTCCACGACCTGGACAAGCTGGACATGGTACTGCAGGCGGACGAGTACGAGGCGGCGCAGGGCTGCGACCTGCAGGAGTTCTTCGACTCTACAAGGGACGTGTTCCGCACGGATGATATGCGCGCATTGAACGCCGAGTTGCGCCGCCAGCGGGAGCAGCGGCGCGCCGGCGACGGTGGCGCGGCCGGGGAGCCGGCGGCCGCGCCGGGAACCGGCAGCGACTGAACGTCTGTGCGATGAAGCACTGTTTCTAGCGAGGTTTTACGAAGGGTTGTTATGACCTGGGAGGCGCGAAGGGACTTGAATAACCTCGGTTGTTTACGTGACAAGTGTGCTGAAAAGGTCGACGCGTGGAGCGCTGCGAAGGCGTCTGACTTTTGTGCTACTTTGGCGAGGTAAGGCTGCCGAGGCGATACGCAGCTCATGTTCCTTGTTTCGCACCATTCACGCGTGCGTAACTGCCTGGAACGAAGTGTGTGCTTGAAGCGGTCAGTCCTGACTCAATAGGGCGATGCATGACCGGCGGAAAGTATGTTGATGGGGCTTGAGCCGATAGGTTGTTTCGCTCTCGTGCTATCTGATCTGGACGAGATTCTTATTTCCGTTGGCCAGTTGCACACGTCGGTGACGAAACGACAGTCAAGGTGGATGTGCTGTACATTTATAGTTGCCTGGGCCCGACGTGCGCTCTGGATGTCCGTCACCCTCAATGTTGGTTCCCTCACCTTGAAGAGGATGCCGAAGGGGATGGCGACGGTGCCGTCGGAGTACTTGAAGCCCTCGTCGTAGATCATATTGCACAGCTCGAGGAGCTCTGTGTGGGCGTGCTTCACACCGAATAGGCCCTTCCTGTGGAGCAGATGTCGCTGTGTGCAGTATAGGTGGCAGGACGTGCTCAATAGCACGTCTTGGCCTACTGACGCGGTAATTGTCCTCAGCGGTGCATTGTAATGGATCACTAGCCTCTGTTCCGCCGTGCTGTATCAACCAAGTATGTGCGGAAACTGTTTTTGTTGTTGAAAAGTCAGCTTTCTATTCACCAGACATTTAGCGTGGTGCAATGCCAATTCAGCGGTGACATTCACTTTTCTATCGCGCTATGCTTTGTAGCAGGATATGCTGTAGAAGTCAGTCAGTCGCGCGATGATCATAATGACTTCTAGCAGCCGCTGTCGGCCAGCTTGAGTGACCCATGCACAAGTGCATCAGTTATGACGTTGTCAACCAAGAAAAGTAAACATGTGCGATGTCTTGATCGATGAGGTTAAACATAGCTTCAAGATTGGATGTCTCCAATCTTTCTGGCGCGGTTTGCGCAGGGCGAGCAAAATGAAGGTTTGACATTTTTCCCAGACACTCTGAGAGATCTGACAATTTAGCTCACAATATGTTGAAAATGCTTTGCATAGTGAACCGATGTTGCCCGAATCAGATATCCCAAGGTAAAATGCACTCAAATTTGCGCACAATTCTTGGTATCATATTTCTAGGGAGATGGCACGGGGTTGTGCGTACCTCGTGGTTAGTTTTCCGTGTGGTCCGGCTACGCCCGTATTCTACGTCTTAAGATTCTTGCTTGTTTGAATATGACAAAACAAGCAATCAAACTAGCCGTGGTGCACGTTGGACAGACTCTGTCCCAATGCATGCTGAGTCCCATCCAACGTCCTCCTTGGTCCGCTGGATCAGTTCATATCGGTAATTTGCACCTAGGTATGTGGTTCTCATACGCTGTCTGTTTTTTTTTTCTGAGGAAACTGAATGCATGAACGGATGATTTTGCACTGAATCAGCCAAGCTTAAAACCTTAAGGCAAGTGACCGATAAGTTTTAACTTCTCATAATGTTGATGAAGATACAAAATGCATCAATTATCTCGCCCGTTGCAAAAGTCAACCAAGGCAAAAAAGCGTAGCATGCTTCTATGCATTCCTACAAAACTAAAAGCACGAGCCAGAACGCCTGATGCGTGTGGTCGGTGGTGCATAAGATCGTTGATGGTAAGGATCACATCCGTTCAAGTCTTGAAACCCACGCAGAATAACGCTAGCAGTTGGAAACGTATGATTGCGTTGTCATTGTTTTGTATGAGGATAACAGAGACAAGACCATCCAAGATATTCAAGCATGTCAAAGTGTTAAAGACGGTTATAGCACGCGTTCGGTGTGGCTTAACGGCTCGCGCAACCGCTATGGCAGCGAATATCCACGGTGGCAACCTGGTTTTGATTGTGATTCAAGCAATGATCAGGCATTGGTCGTGGTAATAGTTACAGTGTAGTTTATGTTCGTGTTTCGCCAGGCCTAATGATACATAACGAAGACTCCATGACAACCCACCAAGGTATTATACCTTCATGTCTTCAAAAACCCTAAAATGAAATCGTGTGGTAGTCTTAGGCTTTAAAGACGTTTTGTATCAATCAAATACGTTTCCGAGTAACTGCTATCTAGTTATAGCATCAGAAATTTTAGAGCGGTCAGGCTGCGGGCCTACCTTTGCCGGATCGTGACGAGCATCCCACTGATCCGGATTGGCAGACTTGCACCAGGCTATAGAAACTGCTTACACATCGGTAAACTCGCCATGATGCGTGGAAACTTTTCCAAATTCAAATTTTTAGCCTGCTTTCTTTTTGACCTCTTGACTTCTTTCGTCACCTATCGTGACATTTGGCATGTCAAAAGTTGTGCGTATGGCTTTCGTTCAATCAACTTTGGTACATCATATGGCGACAGAAGAAATAAAAATGGGCTCGACGTATAAATGCTCTTTGAGCGTCCGAAATTTACGTAGGTGACGCTGGGAAAAGTAATTCCGAATATTTTTTGAGACGGAGGAGATATCGGGAATGCCACAATGTTTGCAATGCAAGATCGAATTCAAGGTAATGTAAGCGATGAAATGCATATGAATGCGTGATTTTTTAAATTGCGTACGTCATCACCATCAGAGTACGATATACACAATAAAACCAACTGATTACTTCATGCTTACTTTACAGTGAGTCGAATTACATACTCTACTTCTGTAGACCTCAAAAACGAGGTCAAGTTCGGTCTGCCATGCTGCCACTGTCGCTGCTAGATTTTTGAGCGTACAAAACAGAGGTTACCGTGACGCATGCGGTTCTAAATTGACGCATACCAAAGCTTAGGATCGTAGAGCCCTTGATCTAATCAGTAATGAATTTCATACAGGGCAGTGTAACTTAATATTATAATCACCCACTGTGTCAATTAAGTGTCAGTTCGAGGGAGGCAAAAGCGTCCTTTTGACAATCACCTTAACTGAATATGCTTCAATGGCTGTTAGACAAACCCGTCGGCAGCAAATAATTCATGTTCGGGTCTAAGCATTAGATGAAGACTCGGCCACCGCCTCTCTCTCTCTGACGTAGAGTTATCCCATTTCACTTTGATGGGCTTTGACCTACCGTTCCTGGTACTTTCCCTGGTAGTTTCCAGACTGGAGCGCTTAGAACTGTTTTGATTCCTTTACCGTGACTGCCCCGACGAACTGATTACTAAGCTCACTTCTTGCCTCAGTTACCTTTCCCTACGGAACAGTGCAAAATTGATAACGCTCAAGAGGTATTTTTTAAAGGAGCAAGGCATCGCCTTTGACGTCAGGATTTGGTGGTAGAGCGGCCGCTTTAAACACATCTGATGCGTGGGGCGGTGTGCTGGGCCACTGATGCCATCGCGATGTGGCGAAAAATGTGCCAATAAAGTCCTTACGTGGTGTCCTGGATCTCAAATAGATCAACGGATGTCTCTTATCGCCTCTCCAGCCGCGCGAGCCGATGGCGTAGTCAAATGATGACGTATTGAGCAGGAGCACATTTACTTGACAGAGAAATCGTGCCGTCTACAGCAGTCTTTTCCACTTAAAAGTATATCAGTAGTTATAAGTGAGCTCATTTCATCATATCCGGTGCTTGCCTCAATGTTTTCAAATGTGAAGATTCCCTTTGAAGAGTGTTCCACCTACGGAACAGATTTAAAAAATATGACCTGGTCAACTCTCAAGATTCATCATCAAAATAAATAGCACCGCGGAGCGCAACTAAATGACTAATAGGACATAATGCGCAAGTTAACTTATTTATTTTTTAGTACGAATTACGTGGCCAACATTTCAGACCAGGACTGGTATTTTGTATTACCATGAATGCAAGAGCGATTTAATGATGTAATGATAATAATGGTCAGAGCGAGTTGTGAATGAGTTCAATATTAGGTAAGGTGATGTGCTCAGCATGAAAATATTTTGGGGCGAAGTGTGGCCAAATGTCTCGTTTTAGACTCGATGATACTTCTTTTCACCATGATTGCAGTGGTGGGCATGTGTTACATTTGAGTGTTGATTAGGTACGAATTTTGCCAGCAGATATGAACGTTTGTAATCATCACAGTGCGCAGCGCAAGCATTTGGCGAGCAGCGCATTCGTGAAGCATTTGCGTCGCTAAACTAGCTGATTTGCCGCTGGTGTACACCTGACACGTAAACGACACCTTCACGACGCAAGCATCCACGTAAACAATGCTTCCCAAAGTCAAAGTGCCCTCCCAACAGAGCCACTATACAAAACGTCATAGCGGAGAAATCAAGGCCATAGCGCAACGTTTCGTCGAATCAGCGTTAGAATGGTTTCATATCTGTACATATGTTTCCCTCAACAGAGGGTTCAAGCTCTAATACCACTTCTTGCAATTGGGTTTTGGCTCTTGGTGTGCTAAGGGTGTCACATAACACACAGGCTGAAAAAGTCAAGGAAATAAGAGTTTTTACTTTCATACTGGTGAGGAAATTTCTTGAGATTTCCAATGTCCAATCTTTCCAAATTCCAAAGTCCATCGATCTAATTTCCAAAGTCCAATGAGATTTCTCTTGTCGCCATAGTTACTTTAAATAAAAATTATGGGCTGTTTGCCCGGCTCTCGAGAAAACTGGTATTATCGATCAGATCGGACCCTTCTGAGCTGGCTATGCCTGAAAAGCGCAAAAAAAGTGTGACACGTCCTTTAATATTCCACAGAGAAAAGCTGACTGAGATGACAAACGAGCTCAGCGGTCGGTTCTCCATATAGTTCTCATTCATGGGTCCTCAGTAAAGAATACAAAGCAGTTCCACAGATTATGGCCAGGAACCTAAGAGCTACACCCGTCTGTGAACTGGCCACGGACCATGGACGGGAGGTCAAAGTTTCATCAAAGCGGGGCAGGATGATCCCACGCCAGAGATCGGCGGTGATCTAGTCTTCACTTAGACACAAACATGAGCGATGTGTGGGGCCGAGGGGGCTGAAACACATCACCAGTCTTCATAGTCCGTTTGTTTAGAGCACGCCGCATTGACACAGTGGGTGGCTGTAATATTGAGTTACACCGCCTTGCGCCCAATCAGGTACTGTTTAATACAGAGCCTCAGCTATCCAAAGTTTTATTATAAGCAGGTTTTAGCAGCACGTGCGCCATGATGGCCTAGTGTTTTGCATGATCAGAAATACATTAATAATCATGGGACATATATGTCAAACTCTGAACTGCATTTTGCCTAACCCAACAAGTCATATCATTCTAAAGAGATGGATAAGAATGCCTGACTCAGCTGTAGGTTAATCATGAAGCGATCAGTTGGTTCAAAGGTTTCATTTACTACCGCGCTTCTGTTGTGATTACAGAGCGAATTACAAAGGTAAAGCATTTTTCAGCATTTACGCAAACATGTCTCTGACCTTGGACCATAAACGTTGTTTCTTTGTTATTTCGGAATTCTTGTGATCGATAAAATTGTACAATATTGCTGTTTTAGACATATATATATATATATATAGAGAGAGAGAGAGAAGAGAGAGAGAGAGAGAAGGAGAGAGGAGAGAGAGATAGAAGAGAGAGAGAGAGAGAGAGAAGAGAGAGAGAGAGAGAGAGGAGAGAGAGAGGAGAGAGAGAGAGAGAGAGAGAGAGAGAGAGGAGAGAGAGAGAGAGAGAGAGAGAGAGAGAGAGAGAGAGAGAGAGAGAGAGAGAGAGAGAGAGAGAGAGAGAGAGAGAGAGAGAGAGAGAGAGAGAGAGAGAGAGAGAGAGAGAGAGAGAGAGAGAGAGAGAGAGAGAGAGAGAGAGAGAGAGAGAGAGAGAGAGAGGAGAAGAGAGAGAGAGAGAGAAGAGAGAGAGAGAGAGAGAGAGAGGAGAGAGAGAGAGAGAGAGAGAGAGGAGAAGAGAGAGAGAGAGAGAGAGAGAAGAGAGAGAGAGAGAGAGAGAGAGAGAGAGAGAGGAGAGAGAGAGAGAGAGAGAGAGAGAGAGAGAGAGAGAGAGAGAGAGAGAGAGAGAGAGAGAGAGGAGAGAGAGAGAGAGAGAGAGAGAGAGAGAGAGAGAGAGAGAGAGAGAGAGAGAGAGAGAGAGCGGTATGAATCATTTTGCTGCAAATTATGTAGCACCAACGACGGGCCCATAAGGTGATCTCTCGGAAATGCCCCAGGTCATAACTCGTTGACTGTTGTTGAGAGAGGTACATGAACATCTGTTTTTAGGGCCTTATAATTTCCTATGAGAGCATTTTCAGGTTGAGTTCTTGAAAATATGTGGTATAAATTTGATTTGTTGTTGTGGAATATATCAGGCTTACTTCTCTTTCTTCTCCCCGGCAGGCATGGGCACGACATCGGCCGGTTGCTCCTTCGCCATTTTCTTCAGCCCCTCCACGGCCTTCTCAAACTGCTGGACGGACACGGGCGCCATCTTCGGCTGCAATTGCTGCGGACGACAGCAGCGCGTCATCGTTCAGGTATGTCGAGGACGCTGCAGTGTTACGCCATGAGCTTCAGCGTGGTGGTTTTACAGGCGTTTCTTAACAAAAAATAGTGGTACAACTTTTTCCTGACAACAACGTCGAACGAAAGCGCTCGTCAAATCCTGATATGTACCTTTAGTTGTATTCTGCATAGCCATTGAGAACCTCCTGAACGTAGATTGCAGATCGAAATGATAGACCAAAATTTGCATTAACATGGCTAACCCATGTTCGTTTACTCATGTTTTGTGTTCAGTCAGAATCGATTTCTCAGAAAAACTATGTAGCATGTTTTGAACGTGCGCGCAAATCTTAACAACAGCTCCGACACCCCGCGTTGCTGTTTCCTTAGGCCGCGCGACGTCGGCCCCGTGGCTGACTCAAAGCGGTGGCGAACGGGCAGACGAACAAAAAGATAACGCGTCTGAAAGGAGTGCCTTTGAACGCTTGGAAGCAACAGTTCGTACGCTTGGAAAGTAGTTCGGACGTGCATTTCATTTGTGCGATTTTGACGTTGATAAGGGCGGATTAGCCTCCATAGTACCGTGAGGTGGTGCTGGAATCTGGTGGTGGAACTGGGGGATTCAAGGTAAACTTTCTGTGTTTCGTGTTGCCGCAACTGCTAATTGTAAAATGGATAGCCAGCGGTAAGGTGAGAAACAATAAGCGATATCATGTCAACCGGCTGTTGAGTTTCGGTATTTGAAGCTGAGTAGGATTGTAAGCACTCATGTGCTTTAATGCTTGGGACTGTTTACAAATTCATTGAGATGTCTGATTTTCATTACAGCCGTACTCAGAAGCCTGGTATACTGTATGGCACACCAGATGCTGAGCGAAGCGGAGCAGAGGCCGGCACTCCTGGTTGGAACATACTGGGGCCGATATCCGACGGATCGGACGCTGCGTCATGAACCTGGCATGAATTCCTGGCGTCCAGGGGCCGACAGGTTTCGTCATCGTTGGCAGTGCCTTGGTTTTGGATCATGATCAGGTGGCATCGGTGAAAAGGCTTCATTTTTCGTTGATAATTATTTCTTCTGGTGTAGCCAGTGGCTAGAGCAGAACTGAACTCCCACTATGGGCGATTCCCCCCCCCCCCCCCCCCCCAACGCATCACAGAAATTCTTCACCACTCGTGTCCCCGATGACCGGTGTTGCCTGTGCCGTGGTTGAATTTAGTTTAGTTGTGATAGTGCACTTATTCACTTAATTCGGCTGTTGTCAGGTAATGCAGGAGAGTTAGGGAGTGGGATCATCAAGGCGAACGCATAATCAGCGATAGCAAGTGGGAGTTCACAACGGCCCGCTTAGTGTTTACGATGTACCTTTGGGTGTGTGGATCTTGGCATTAACGTGCTTGTTGGGACATCAGGCTTCCAAATAGACTTGGCACACCAGCTGATCGGCTGAATCAGAGGAATACCCCAAAAACCGGGATGTTCCACTTTGTGGCAACCGCGGCTTATTGAGCTATAAGCTGGGCCAGAGCTGGCTCTATTGACGAACCAAACGGTATGTGTGCGTGTATGTGTGTGTGTGTGAAATTCCTGGCTTTCAATGTATCGAGGAGTCCCGGGTGAACGCCGTTAAAGCAACAATTGAAATATATGAAACCTACAGCATTGCAAAGGTATCTGGTCATGCTTGCTATTGTGCAATGAGGTTTCCAGTGCATTATCTGCCTTTTAAGTGCTTCACTTGAAATTTGAAAGCTGTTTCTTCAATGCTACGAGCATAACTTTTTCGGCGTGCCTGCTTTAATGTTAAATAAAGTATGCATGATAAAATCTGACACCACTCGCTTGAAAACCTCGCTGCTGTTTGAAGTCCTAACTTACCAGCATTCAGAGGCCTAACTACACGAGACGCACCGTCTTACATGTACTACATAATCGCATCTGAGCCGTCACTTATGTATAAAACATTGCTATTTTTGTTGATATACTTTCAGTTCATTTAGATATAATATTCATTATATTTCGTTTACCTTAAATATATATATATATATATATATATATATATATATATATAAGCTTAAGGAAGCCATCATGTTAAAAAAGCAATCACATGAATCCATGACTAGCCGAATACAATACAATTTGTCCCCGTTTTCAGAACAGATATTTTAGTTAGGGGTCTTTGATCTCTCGGCAGAATACTAGTGTCTCAAGCAGAAGACGATTAGGCTTTCAGCGGCCAAAGAAGATTCCCCATTATCTTTGCCCCTATGCATTTTGTTTTTCCTTCCTTACTCGAATCGAATTACGTGTATACACGAAAGCATGTGTTAGTGCATCTTGTATCTGGTTGATCAGTGCAGTTGTGGATTATTTCAACGTTCGTGCCTTAATTTAATTGGTTTACTCGTTCATTGCCGCACATATGCTTAAGTTGACCATACTTCGCACACGGTGTGCTTCATTGTGCCTCATTTCTGCAACGGAAACAATGCTTAAACACATACCATATGCAATCGTTCTACCGTGCGGTGCTTGCTTCATATCTGCTCGGTTTACGCACACGCACGTTCTGGAAAATGGAGCATCGCTCATTGGTTTTACGTGGAGATTGTCAATCAAAATTGTCTGATAACTTTGCCTGCTTTTGTTATCGTAAGAGATGGAAGAGTGACGTCCTCCGAGTGATGTCGATTGCTCCCTTCAGAGCGTGCTAGCCTTCTTTTCGTGCCGTGGTGTGCGCCCTATGAACGGCAGATTACGCTTGGGTAGCCCTATGGACGGCAGATTACGCTTGGGTAGCCTTTGCCCGCCATCCTAAGTTGGAGCGATGAAAGGAAGCATCAGTCATGCTTTCACTGCTCCACATGCTGTTCTAGAATGCCTCGTGGACGTACGTTGGGGTCTCGTGTACGGTGTGCGTGCCATTGTGTGGTTGTTCGAATACAAAACAAGTAGAAATGCAAACGTTTCGGATGTTCGAGAATCAATAAAATGTGATCACACTGAAAAAAATGGGGTCTCGTGTCCCTGTACTCCCCACTGATAGATCGTTTGCCACCACCCACCAGCTACTGTGGGCCGGCCGCCAGAAATAGCTCCGGTTCCGGTACGCGACACGCTGATTGGCTACTCCACGTATCCTCGTCATCGTCGGACGCCGCTGCACGCACGCGCCTGGCAGTGCCTTCAGCGAGCCGGCGGGCCCCTCTGATTGTCGGAACTCAGTTCAAGTTACGCACTGCCCTTCATCACAGATGGCCATTTCGGCGAGCCTAATCGCAGCTGACCAGGGGCATATGTAAGACGCCTATATGGGGGGGGGGGGGGGGGTATCTGCGCTTTTCAGCTTGTGCATATCATTTGGCACGCCCTGTGGAAAATTTTTGTCGCATGCGTACCGCGCTTTTGCCATCAAACTTTGGGATTAAACTATGTCCATCAGGCACTGTGCTCCCCTCGCAGGACAATCCTGCATACGCCCTAGCCACTGGTCTTTTCAAACGTTGTGTCACATGTCTGGCTGCTGACTTTGTTTGACTTAAGGCAAAGCGTAGCACTTCTTACCTGCCTTCGCGCCTACCAGCTTCAGGGAGTATGACTTATGCTTGTCGCGCTCCCTTGCCCCATTTGTTTGCGTCATTTTTTCACTTGCCCACTTGCCCCATTTGTAAGATTTAAACTGGTAACGGCACCCTCACCTCGGTGCCATTAACGGGGATTTGCGTTTTTTCACATCTGCGTTGCCCTAGTGATGCGGATGATGACGCTTATTTGTCTGTCAACGATCAGTGTGTTAACCGATATCAACTTTCCCGGCACGAAATGTAAAGCCGTACTGAAAGCTGCAGAACTGTGACGTTCCGCCGCTGTCCGGTATCTGTCAGAAGCGGAGACCACCACATGCATGCACCCCTCCCCCACAGTAAGAGCCGATGTGGTCGCCACTGCCCTGTCCCTGCCCGGGCTGGCACTGATGCTGTCAGGCGCGAGTCCCGCTCAGTCCCGCCTGAGGTCCCCGCCACCCCCGGCCTGACTCGTCCATGTGTCTCACCTGTTGGGTGACTCCGGGGCGCTTCACGGGGCTGGCGGCACACGCAGTGAGCGTTCCAGCTCCAGCCCGCCTCCAGCCACGCCTCTCTGACTCAAACAGCACCTGCCGCTATTAATAGCGCGGGTGGGCGGGCGCTGGCCGGGGTGCCGGGGTCAGCCCCGGCTCTGGCCTGGGTGGGAGGATGCTGTATGTTCCGAGGGCCATCCAGTAGCGAAGCGTCACCGGGTTCAGCTCCCCTTCTCGCCGGTACTCGCCCTACCTGGGTGGTTCGTCGCCGGGGTCAGCTCCCGTTCTCGCCGGTACTCGCCCTACCTGGGTGACTCATCACCGGGGTCAGCTCCCGTTCTCGCCGGTACTCGCCCTACCAGGGTGCCTCGTCGCCGGGGTCAGCTCCCGTTCTCGCCGGTACTCGCCCTACCAGGGTGGCTCGTTGCCGGGGTCAGCTCCCGTTCTCGCCGGTACTCGCCCTACCTGGGTGGTTCGTCGCCGGGGTCAGCTCCCGTTCTCGACGATAACCGCAGGTCTTTGACTAACGCCTGGTTTACCCTTCGTGTGCTGTTGCATTGGTAAAATGAGGGTGGCCGTGAGGGCTAAAAGGAGAAAAAGTATGAACTTCTACTGACGTTTACATAGCACATATGGCATATTTATTAGCATGTTATTATATTTGCATATTATATTATGTGGCATATTACGTAGCATATTACATAGCATAGCACATATATCCTTTACAGGTATTTGGTGGTAAACGCCAGTGCTGTCAAACAAACCTGAATTCGCTATGCTCATAATAATTTCTTCGGTCATTTCATATTTCGAATATGACATTGATGCGTAAGACACACTGCAGAAAGCAGAAACTCCACGCTAATCGCCCTTTTCCTCTGTAGAAGAAAACAAAACGGTGGCCACTAACAACCCACACATATGACCATCACTGCACGCCGTTGGGACGACTCCCACGCACCCGCCCAGGAGGGGGCGACGCGCTATGGTAGACGGGCGCACGGTCCGCTGGCGCCACTCCTCGAGCCACACCCGCCCCAGCCCGGCCTGGCTAAACGAAACGCATAGTTTTGACGATAACTGAACATGTCGGACGCTGTCATCTGCGTGGTGCCACTTAAATGTTTTGCGCAAAAGTAATTTTGCTTATCTCTTTTCACTGGCGGCATACTTCGAGCTATCGCAAACGCTTTCGATTCCATCGGTGAACGCATCATCCGCGCGCCTAGTGCAGCCCGCAAGGCCTCCGAGTGTTGATGAAAAGAGCCGCGCGATATCTAGGTTGCGTCGCAGCTCGGCTGATGCTCGCCCCGGTGATTAGCTGGGCGTCTGCCGGATCAAAGGGGCCGACCGCGCCGCGAATCAGATCTGCGGTACTGCTAAACACTGATTGCAAGTCTGGAGTTTATTCGCGCGGGCTCTGGATCGTCCTTCGGTGATAACGCACGATTAGCGACATCATCTTGAGTGATTTTCTTATGTCACATTTCGTGGGGGAAGATGTCCTGCGGGAACGTTGTCTGATACTAAGAAAACCATTCCATCAGCATTCGCTAAGAAGAACAGTTCATCAAAGTCGTGGGCGATCTCCACGCCAAATTTTGCCCGTTCACTTTGCTGTGTACACAATGTTAGTGCTTCCATTGCTTATTTCGTCGCACAAAACCTTTTCCGCTCCGCTCTCTGATTCAGTTCGTGTTCTTCGGTTTCGTGCAAGGCAACTCATGGAGCTTAACGTGGGGCCTGCATGAGGCCGTGAGGCGTAAACAACGCTGGGTACCTGCTGGAGTAGCATTTCATCGCTCGTTTCGTCCGACCACGGTCTGGCGGACGGTTCGAGTACCGCGCAGTACGCCTTCATCGGGTCAGCAGTGGGCTACGTGACACTAGATAGTTTTGCTCTTTATCCCAAGAGCAGGATGAGCATTGCCCATGGAAGCACACTGCGCAGTGAGTGTGGACTGATGGCTTGCAGACCTGAGACGTCAGCCATTCCGAGCAGGTGTCGCTGTCTCCCTTCGCGTGAGACGATATAGATGACGCCACGCTAGCTGTCGGCAAAGCGCGTCAGCGTCTGTCGGGGATGTCTTGAGTCAACAGTTTGAGGCTTTGTCTCACCAGTCGAAGGGAGGAGTGAGTGGTGGACGAACGCAACCCCAAGGCGCATCCTTCAGATTTGACCTGAGTCGTACTGGTAGGCGAGGGACCGACCACGACAGTGTGGTAGTTGGTGGGGAGTTAGCCAGAGACTGGGCAGCCTGCACCCCCGAACTTCATAAGATACTGCGTCCCACGGGTCCAATACGCCATGATTTGAGAAACAAGTCGACGTTTGAACATGTCAGACCTCACCTTGAACAGCCGTACATCCACCGAATCTGCGCAACAGATGCGACGAAGGTCAACTGTTGAGGCAGCTACGGCCGTCCGCAAACCTAGCTCACCGCGCGCCAACAGTAGTGTAGTTCAGCTGATGGTGGCGCTTGCTCCCGTCAGATACAGCAAACTACAGGTTCGCCAGCGAGGCTTCGGTGTCTCCACACAGTCAGCCTGTGTGTGACAGACGATACGACAGGGCTGTTGTTCTATATTGGTGGCTGTCCATCTGAGCGCCATGACCGTGTTCGCGTGGTCGCTGTTCTTTGCTGCCGTGGTTGATGGTGAGGCTTGAGCTGTCACGAAATTCGATTCTGGGTAGAACTTTGGCGGGTGGGGAAGGATAATGTTTTACACCCGTTGCTGTCGAAATGTCCACCTTTTGGATAAATCGCAGAGGCGAAAGGTCACTGGTTCGGAGCTGTTTACTATTGCAAATTGAAGTTCAAAGCGTTCCGCGTCACCAGGCTTTCTGTGCTCCAACAAAACGTCATAAATTTTGAGATGTAACCAAGTCGACTTTCGTAGCTGTGGGAAATGCGAACGGTATCCTAGCACGTTGTTTTGGCATACAATTACATACGTAGCTTTCCCTTTCAGTGAACCTCTACCTAACTCTAACAACAATTTGTGCCCGAACTGCGCAGGTTACCTCCGGAAAACATGGCGCCTGTAACGATAGCGTGCATTGCTGTCGGGACGGTTAAGAAAAACGACCTACATGGATACGCTCCAGATTTCATTTAAAAAAAGAGACGGCGTTCTCTTTGTTTTGCATCACGGTATGGGCCCGCGAAAAGACTGTTGTGCAGCCTCGCCCGATGCAGAGGACTGCCTGCATGCGTCTGCTGCGACCCCGGCCGAGGAGGACTTCCTGACATTATCAGGCTCGTGGCTTGCCTTCCGGTGCGGTCGACGGAGCACAGCATCAACATATCCACATCCTCCCGCAGTGCATTGATTCGTGCTTCGTAGCATCTTTGGGCTGATCATGTGTTACATAGCGCCGTGAGAGGCGTGAACGTGCTCAGTGTCGAAGCTTGGTTACGTGTTGGCTTACGTGTTAATGGAATAGAGAAAGCGTGACACCTTTCGCGACTCGTTGTCGTTCAATACACAGTAGTAATGGAAGTTTTGCCACCGCCGTTTCGCTTTTGCGAATCACCAAGAGTGGAAATGTTCGCTGTTAGCGCCCGGAGATTTTTCCGGAATGGCTTCCGAACGGTGCGGCGTGGTCACCCCACATTTTGCATGGCTGTAGGTAATTGAATAGTGGATCGTTTGGCATAGAATATTTGGCTTCACCTGGTAAGGTCGCTGACCTATGGTAGGTCAAATTCAGACCATAGTTACAGCGAAAGCAACTTCTAGGGAATTGTTTAACCTGATCTAACGACGGTAAACAAATTGCATTGACCTAAGGTCAGTTTTGAAGGTCAGATCAAGGTCAAAATCAAACTGTTTTATTACTTAGTTTTCTCTCACTCTAACTAACTCTCTTAGTTCCTGAGATTCCAGGGGGTCAAATTGACTCTCCACCCGAGCGAAGGGTGGCCAACCGGTTACCCGGGCGCGTGTTAACCCCAAAATAGGTGTTCGTGCAAGGTCAATCTCTCGTTTGATGAGAGTAATCAAAGAATGCTCCATCGGGCAGTTCCTCATGCACGAATTACCTGCGTACAGGGGCGTAGTTTCACAAAACGAGTTGGGGGCTTAGTAGTGAAAAATTGCAATTTAAAATTTCTTCTCAACGTTGGGGCGCTCGAGCCCAAGGCTGGGGCCAAACAGGGGTCAACTACATCCCTGCCGTCGTGGAAACGCCGAAGCTGTTCAGCGTCTGCTATCAGCAAATACCTCGACGTCAGAAAACGTCACCATCGGCAAAACTTAACGTCATGGCGTACCGCGGAGCCTTTATGCTTATGTTTCGGTATTCAGTCACATGAATGGACCTGATACGGACTTCGCAATTATTGGCATAATTCACTAATTGCGAAGTCCGTAAGTGTGACGAAGTGGGAGCAGTAGCTCACATCCTCTCGAATCTCTCTGGTTGCAAACACGCAATAGGATCACTTTGTTCTCTTCAGTGCAGCATGAACAGGCGTCCCCATCCTCTCGCTGAGAAGATAAAGCTCTCATCGTGGGAATGTTATAGGTGATCGTAGGCAAAACCCTTGGTAACGAGGTCACGATGTAGGCAGATATTACACGCGTCACGCGTAGTGTTGGTGTTGCCGTGGAACCTACCTCAATGAATAAGTTGAACGGTGTGAACATGCTATATTCTCATGGGACATCTGGCAGCTGGCAGGATGTTTGCGGTAATGGCAAGCACGTCATTCACAAGAGCCTTCTGGCGTTGCGATATCTGCCCGATCTTGCCTTTCGGACGAGAACCTCGCCGGCAGCAACGTTCCACGAGCGTTCGCTGGTCCTGCCGCTGCCTTTGCGTCGGATGCACGCGTCGTGCTAGCGTCCAGCCGTGTCACGTGTCACGTTGTCGTCTGCACGTGGCTCGCGGTTTGCTGTCCGCACGTGGATCGCGGTTTGCTGTCCGCCGAAGGACAGCCTGCCGGCCGGGCCGCGGCGGCGCGCCACTGTTTGTAGGAAGCGCGACTATCTGGAGGCGGCCGGACGCTGCCGGAGGTCACTGTGCGGCCGGCGCAGTGGGCGGCCGCGGCGGCACCAGTGGCCGGACGGGCCCGGCGGCGGCCGGCCATGCGCGCGCCCCACTGCCTCCGCCGAGCGCTCGTGCACCGCCGCCACCGCTGACCGGTCGAGATGCGGAAGACGCTGCCGGCGCTGCTGCCGGCGCTGCTGACGCTGCTGCTCCTGGACGTTGCAGGCGGTGAGTGGGAAGGCACGCGGGCAGGGCAGGGCTAGCGCTGACCGCCGTGTAGCGTCACGACGGCGACTGTCTGTGCACAGACGAGGGTCAGGCGGGAAGGCGGCACGCTTGGTTTGATCATCAGGCCAACCGGAACGTATGTCTGCTGTGTTCACAACGGCTATAGGACCAGTGCAATGAAATAATAAACAGCTGGTCGCAACGTCTGATTTTTTCAGCCATGTTCACCAGCGCGCAATCACTGTTTGTTTAACGGTTAGTAAAGGAGAGCAGGAATGGATCCTGGACTGATGTCTGGTCGGTTTTGAAGCGAGCGCGTGTGCTGCTTTCTTCGGCTCTGCTTAGTGAGGTGCAAATAAGTTGAGGTGCATGCGATATAGGTTTGTGATTTGAACTGCGCATTGTTCCGATGTTCTCCATCCTTCCCGTCCTGTCACATTCAACACACACACACACACAAATCGTTCGATGTCATGAAAAGTTGCGCACCGCGGCGAAAATAGCGCGGATGTGTTCCAGAACAGGTCAAAAGGGCGTTAAATATGTCCGACTTGTCAGACTGTATGCCCTTGAACGAACTGAATTAGTATCGATTCTGTCATGGTTTACGCCCTCTTCAGTCGGAATTTATGCTACACGAAAACGCACAGCATCAATGTGCGTTGTGGGTTTATCTGAGTTTAAATTTATCTGAGTTGTTTGAGCCGACTCGGCTTAAGCCGTATTGAGTTGTGTTGCCTTGAGATGAGCTGAGTCAGGCTGAGCTAAATGAGCTAATCTAAATGAGTAGGGGTAGGAGTACAGGATTAGACTCGATTGTACTAAAACGGAGTGGTGCGCAGGGTGGATAAATCATCCATCCCACATAAATGCTTCGTCAAACTGCATCAGCAACCCGTACTCTCGGCAACTGGCGCCCGCGTGACGTGTGCCATTGGGGTACATTCGTTCTCGCGCCTCGTCACTAGAGCGTCCGCTCGCACGCGCCGTAGGTTTTTGCTGATAAACTTAGTTCAGCAGCACTGGAACTCCTATGACGCTGTAAATAAGCCCGCTGGGATTGGACCAGCGTCGCGATGTGATCGCGTGATGAAATGACACCGCTGACGAAAACACGCGACCACGTGACCTCATGTCTGGCTAGATCCCGCGAGACGACTATTACGGTTTTGATGATCCATTATCGAGCATGTGCCGATGCAGATCTGGAGTCTCCCCTGACCACAGCGCTGCTATCTGCTGATGATTCAGTGTCAGTGCTGCGTCTGTAGTCTCTCTGTTAGAAAGCTCCGGCTTTGGTAGCTGGAATATTGTGTGATATTTCGATTATCGGACTCGGCTGTTGTCATCTCCGGCCGAGGAGCGGAGACAGCACAGGGAAGGGAAGCGTGGAACCCAGCTCCTAGGTTGGGTTTGGGGTGATTTCTTTTCTAAAATGTCGTGTTTGCTCGCCCAATGAACTTTCTTGTTCTGGAAGACATGTTGCCTTATACATTCAATTTCGCAACTTATGTGAGAGAAACTCTAGCGCCTATAACTGCGGTTCCCCAAAAACGGAACAAATTATGAAGGCTGATTTCATTAGCACTTTCGATCGATAGCATTTCTTTGATCCATATGTCAGTTTGGCGTTATTTCCATACGCAAGATGACTGCCATTCCCATATTTCTAAAGACAGGCGCATGACAAGCTGATAGCAGTGGGCGTAGCGATGCATCAATAGCGGCACTGTGCTCACGCGCTTTCAGTGAATGTTATTTGCGAGTGTTCGTGAGCATCGAATAAGCTGGTTGGTGAGTGGAGAGGATGTGGGGACCCCCCAGTCTGTTCGCGACCGGTATGGGTATGAGCAGCGGTATGGCGGGTTTGTGGAGTCGGGCAGTCATGCGAACCTTCATCGAGATGGTGTAGGGTTGTAAAGTGCATCTTGGAAGAACATTACGCGTGCGGATAAGAAAGTACTATTAGTCTTAGTCCTCGTCGAATAACTGGAAGAAAGGAGAGATAGATGTCTTAATATTTCGGCTATATGCCTTCGTCAAAACAATTGGAGCGATTATGAGCAGTCAGTAACTCACACCGAGAAGAGAACACCTTCTTACCGCGCATAGTCTTTAATCGTTGCGACAACGGTGTGTAGCCAAAATGTTAATGGCTTTAGCTGCCTTGCCTTTCTTCTGGCTATTTGACGAGGAATGAGGTTGGCAGTACTGTTTCATCGGGAATGGCACAATGTTAGTATTTTTCCGTGGAAGGCTTCTCATTCTAGCAGTTCGTCATGCCAACCTCCCCGACATTTTCCATCTGTGCTCGTGGCCAGATTTCTTCCAAATCTTGATTAGCTGAGGGACGTCAGGCTGGCTAACTCCCAGCAGGACACCGCCCTCTAGTTCATGCTTTGCACTGACGGACCAACTTAGGGCCTTAGGAGAGATTGGAAATGGAGATAGTAGATGTGTGTGCACTACATGGATAAGTTCCTGCAAAAAATCCTCATTCATATATCATCTTCGGCCAATCGTTCGTGTTTCGTCACTGTAATAACCCTGTAGAGCTTGGCCTCGACAGGAATCATGTTAGAAAGCGATAGACTAGCTATTCAGTGTCGCGATGCGGCATAAATAGCATTGGCGCTGTGCTGAACACACACATACAGTGCTCCCCTCTGCGTCATGGGAATGTAGACGTTGGTCTACATTTTGGTGTTGAAAAGTGTTGTTAAGGATGAAAATATCACTCCGCTCTGAACACGACAAAATTTGAAAACGCGGCAAGTTTTTGGAGGGCAAATTTCATCTCATGCGTCTTTGTAACCCACGCATGCACGCGCAACACGATTCCCATCGCAGATGGTGATAAGATGTGGAGCCAATCGGTGGGTTGTTTTGGCAGGATCCATCTCTTCAGTTGCCAGTGTACCAAAAGCTCATCCGCAAAATGTCGGAATGGCAAATACTGGCAAACTACTGAAACCGGCAACGAGTCACTGGACTAACGCCGCTACTTTTTTATTGGTTTACAAAGCATGCAGCTGCCCTGGCCATTGCGCCGAAATCTATCCCCCGATTGCTGCCGAGGAAAGTGTAGGCTGGACGTGGTGAGTTTCACACCATCGCGAAAATAACTTTCAGTCGGGGTCAGCAGTACACCGGGGTCCGAACCATGCACACGTCAGAGTCACACGTCATCCCCCTGGGACGCCATGTCACCGACTGGACTAACGGGCCAGGACAGGGTCGCCACTGGTTTGGGGTGTGTGGGGCTGGTTCCCCTGGGACGCCATGTCACCGGCTGGACTAGCGGACCAGGGCAGGGTCACCACTGGCTTGGAGTGTGTGGGGCTGGCCGAGACTGCGCCTTCAGGTCATGTGTAAGGTATCCAGCTGTTGCATGACAGGGACATTAATTGGTGCGGCCTTGCTTGTGAATGTGTGGACATTTGCGTGTTACCAGGTTAACGTTTGTGACGCGGGTGCCTGTGACGCAATTGTTTGAATTCAAACGTGTTCGACTACCATGGCTATCTACGTTGTCTACCGGGAAGATGCTAGACTTACGGATTGTTCATGGATGGAAATAAGAACACGTTAATCCAGCAAATCGCACCACGAGCATCTTTTCCTCTGGACCATCGAAGCGGTAGCAAGTTTAGGTATTCAACATAGCACAATCATATCTTCAAGATGGCTAGTTCAGTTCAAAACCGTTGTCCTCCATTACTTTGCATTTGCTCGGATGAGCCTGTGCTGTTGTTGGGTCTCTTCCTATTGGCGTGCCGAAACACTTGTCAATCACGGGCCATTTCATGGATTCTTTCCATTCGCCGGAAGGCTCTGTGAGCTATAGCCCGGGCCCCATGTCTTAACCCGCCGGGATATTCTCGGCTGCTCAAGGGCCCTTTACGTGGGTCTCGGTTAACTTACCGACACACTTGCGACATGCTCATGCGCTCTCTGCATTGGTCTAGGACATTTCCAATTCTCTGTCACTTGCTTAGGCCCCTACATTCTTGTCCGGAGCCCATCTGATGGCCTGCTTGGACACACTCAGTCGTTCGCGGACCCTCTATACTGGGTCTTGGGTACTTCTTTTCTGAATGGGTGGGGCCTACTCTCTTGTTGGGGACCTATCTAATAACCTCCTCGGGCACATTCGATCGTTCGGGGGCCCTGTCCATTGGGCCTTGGGCATGTGCTATGTGAATGGGGTCCTAAGTACTAGTCGGGGCCCCCTCTGTTCGCCTCCTCGGCCACACTGGATTGCCCGGGGACTTATACATTGGTTCTTGATGTTTGAATTTAGGGCATTCTGCTCCTATTGGGATTATTTGATTAACTGCTCGGATGCACTCTATGGGCCATCCGCACTGGGTTTTGGGTACTTCTTATTTGAATGGAGGGCCTTACGCTGCTGTCGGGGCCCCTTCTGATAAGGTGCTCGGGCCCATTCCATCGTGGGGGACCTCTACATCTGGCTGTGGGTGCTTCGTTTTTAAATGGAGGGCCTTCCGCTCTTTTCGGGGCCCTACCTGATAACCTGCTCTGGCGCACTCGATTATTCGGGGCCATCTACATCGCGTCGTGGGTTGAACGGAATGCCCTAAGCTCTTGCCGGGGCCCATCTGTTAACCTGCTCGGGCACACTCGAATATCCGGGGGCCCTCCACATTGTCTTGGATACTTCTTGTCTGAATGGAGGGCCCTACACTGTTGTCGGAGGCCCCATCTGTTTGCCTCCTCGGCTACACTGGTTTGTTCGGGGGCTCTGTATATTGGGTCATGGTGTCTGAATTTAGGGCTCTACTCTCCTGTCAGGGCCATCCGATAATCTGCTCAGGTACCCTCCATCTTCCGGGAGCCCTCCGCACTGAATTTTGGGCAATCCATATTGGAGTGCCCTACGCTCTGGTCGGGCCTCTTCTGATAACCTACTTGGCCATGTTCCATAGTTTGAGGGGTCACTTGCATGGGGTCTTCGGTACTTACTGTTTGAATGGCGGGCCTTACACTCTTGTTGGAAGCCTTATCTGTTAACATGTTCTGGCACACCCGATCATTCGGGGGCTCTCTGCGTTGCATCTTGGGTGCTTTCTATTGAAATGGCGCCCCCACGCTCTTGAAGGGGACCCTATATTT